GGTAAAAAGGTCTGTTGGGAATTTTTTCCGTTCAGTCTCCGCTTCTGGACTCGATGTACCCCTTAGCTATGTTTTTCGCATATCTACTTCTGAGAGCCACGGTCCCTGCAGGGGGTTCGCATATCATTGACCCCCCACCCCACCCACTCACCCAGTGGAAGGAGGGAAGGATTAACCCTTCCTTCTGTATTAAGGATTGCATTTTGTTTTGATCGGATTCAAGGATGGAAAGGAGAGGTGTGAAGGCAGAAGGGTTTCCCAAATAGCAAAAGGGGAACATGATTTCAAAAACTACTAGGCTCACTCTCTCCCACCTGCCTTCTATCTTCCCATGGCACAGCACAAAATTCTACTAGTTAATATCCTGTCTCTTGCCCCCATCTTATTGCTCATGAAAAATATTTCCCAGGCTTCTGTCCACTGTGAGCTGGTCCAGCAGTTCAAGTGTAGTGCTGGACCCCCCCTCCTTGGTAGTCCTCTCCTGCCTGCTTCCTTACCAGAGATCACGGATCAGGTCCTATCTTCTCTTCCTGTTCTGTATGCCTGCTGGTTGGCCCCTCTCTCTGTATACTCTGCTTGCACCACCCCACACCTTTGCCTACTTCTGCTGTGCCAAGGGAAATGAGCCACGAGTGCTTAGGCTATTTCTGGAAATTACTCTCTAGCCAGGGGGTGGGGAAATCTTTGTCCCTCCAGATGTTTGGGATTGCAAGTCACACAGCTGCATGCTGTCAGCCATACGGGGACCTCTGGAGTTCAACCACATCCAAAAGGCGAAATGTTCCCCACTTATGCCTTTAGGCTGTATTTGATGCAAATATGTATCTATCCGCCAGATGTGTTTCTGCCCACCAGATGTGTATCTATCCATCTTGCCTTAATAATTCCTTTTGGTCATGCCTCTTGTCCCCCTCCAGGAACTGTCACACAATGGAATATGAACCAGACATTTCCTCCTTTGAAAACTCCGCTCATCTCATGAAGCTCCTGGCCGAAAACGTTTCCGTGAACCAAGATTATTCCGAACTGCCCAAGAAGAATGGCTTGTGTTTGGAGGGCCTCCCCTCTTCCCACAAGCCGCCGGCTCTGCCTCCTGGCACCAGCAAGTTGGAGGCCAACCCTGAGAACTATATGATCACCTCCGGCGACGTGTATGACAACGGCTCGCTCAATTCGCTCTTTGACGCCATCCATGTGGCTCCGTCGCAGCAGAGGTGGCAACCAGACAGCACGTTTAAAGAGGATCCTCAGGAGGTCGGTGCTGTGGGCTTAGGTCCACCCTGCTTCGTTTGGGGGGGGGGTTCTCAGGGAAATGCCTTGATGGGAGGGGTGTTGATAGGGGAATCCTGCCAACATTTTGGAGGTCAGCTAGCCACATGGGGCACTAGCTAAAAGACTAAGAGTTCTGATCTCTCTCTCTCTCTCTCTCTCTCTCACACACACACACACACACACACACACACACAAAATCCTTTTTCCTCACCCTGAGAGATTCAAGTGTGTTCTTTTCAAGTGTATAACAAAAAAGAAACACAGCTGTGCGGCCCATGTGCAAAATCCAGAAACAGGAGTAGACAACACCTTTACTGTAACAAAAAAAAATGTTATAAAGGAGACTTTCAAGTCCTGGCTTGAAAGGTAGAAGGTGAGGGGAAAGGGCTGCGAAACCAAATTCATAAAATGAACTGGCAAGGTGGGTCAAACTTCAAGATGGAGGCCTCAGACTTAACGAATCAGCTTGAGGTGTGCTGATGGTATTGATTTTCACCTCAGGGGATATAAAATAAGTGGTCTGGTTTCTGTCTCTATAGATTAGTGGGTCCCAACCTGGGGCCCCCAGGGGACTATGACTCCCAGAAGCCTTCGCCACTAGCTGTGCTGGCTGGGAGTTGTGGTCCAAGAACATCTGGGGACCCAAGGTTGGGAGCCATTGCTCTGGAATGCTAGTCACCTAGAGAATCCTCCGTTGCTCTAAGGACATGGTTCTGGGTTTGATGGAGAGTAGAAATATTCAGGTTTGTGGCATCGCACATCAGAAAGATGGAGATTAAATTAAGTAGCATGCTCAGTAAACAAAAAAACATCAGTTGAAGAGAGAGTATAACATAGTGGAGAGAGGATGATGGGTCCCCAGTGTTCTAGGTGTAAATCCTGCCATATTCGAGGCATTTTCTGCAGCCAGGTTAAAAATAAAAGCATGTGGCAAGACCCCAAAGCAGGACCGAACAATACTTTTATTAGACTGTTAAAATATTGTAAGCAGGCGAGCTTCTGAGACCTTAAGGTCTCTTCATCGGGCAGGGCATTGTAGAACTTAGGTAAAGTGTGAATAAACAGAAAAGTCCACAGATCTCTTTGAAGGTGGGTGAAGAGAGAAAATGAAGGGGCAGCCATGGTGATATGCATTATTATCTCTCCACTGCCAGTGGTGGAGAGGACAGAGTGATCCCAATGACATTTCTGTGCGGCTGCCAGAGGATAGATGGGAATTTGGGGTAGCACCCACGGGGACCCCTTGTAGCCCTCAGGCTACAGACTGGGTACCCCTTCTTAGTATAAATGAACAATGATCTGTCCCACACATTTTGGAATCCAATCCAAAACGTTTGGTAGAAGGCAGACTCAGAAATTTGGGCCTGATGAGTCTCTAGAGCAAAAACTGTGTGGCTCTGCCCATCTCAGTGCAGGATGTGACATGTATGGTATAAATGGAAACAGGACACATTGCGCTAATTAGGTGTGTAGAGGGAGTGTCCCTTACATGCCAAATCTACCATCACAGAGATTCAGCAGAATGAAGCGTCTTGGGTTGTTGAAAGGACTCCTTGACATTCCCTCCTTCTGGTCTTCTTCGGCTTCCTTGAACGAACTCTCTACAGGCATAAGTCACACATGTCGGTCTCCTAAAGAGTACTGCCAAATCGCCCTTCCTTATCTCATCAAGGCATGACCACACCTTGGACAGGTGTAGAGCAACGAAGTGTTCAAAAATTAGGAAAGCAGGAGGAGACTTAATTCATGATTGCCTTCTGCAGTTGCTTTTTTGGACCACTTCCTTGCCGTTTCAACCACTTTCAGCTGCCTACTCCTGGTGGTCCCTTCCCTGCCACGTTGTGCTCAAAAGGACTAAGAAATATCTCAACACCATTGGTTAGAAATCTGAATTTGGGTGAGAAAGATATAATGTGAGATCTCCCAGTCAGTGGTACAACTGGCACGCGAGTCTGGGCTTCTGCGGAGGGATGTGTTGTGTTCAGCTGGTTGCTGTGCCACTTTCTTAGGGCTTTGAAAAATTACTTTTGGGGTTCTGTATCCTAGCGGTCAAGCTGGTTGTGGGGTTCAGTCACTTGTAATCCAAACAAGCAACTTCCCCAAACTGTGCCCTTTCTTTTTGGCTTTCGGGCAAGATACAGTAACCTTGTCTAGCCGCCTAGAGTGGTCGCAATGACCAGATAGGCAGGGTATAAATAAAATAAATAAATAAAATAAATATCCATCTCCTTCCTTTGTTGGAATTTGATCTGAAAGCTAATGGAGAAAAATCCCCTTTTATGAGTTATCCTCTCGTATTTTGTTCCTGACTCAACATCTTTACTCAAGTAGGTGTTGGCTCCAACTAGAAATGGCAACTTCATCTTTCTACTGGACCTGCAGTCGTGTTAGTTGAAGAGCAGACCAATACAGCTAAGCAGCCAAATGTCTGTCTCAACACTTAGAGCTGTAGGCCAGGAGGATCTTCCCCTGCGCATAGATGTTGGCAAGACATTCCGGCTTAAAACTCCCCTGAATTCAGAATAATTCAGCCCGGGTGGGCTTGGTTACCAAAGGGGCAAGACTTGGGAAGCGTTGAACCATGCCTTATTTTCTCCCTTGGATGTGCCTGGAATTATACAGAACTGTTTCCATTTTCTGTCTCCGCAGTCACTGATCTTCAATGACATCCTGAAATCCCAGGCAGAAGCACCTTGTTCAGAGGGATATTCTGTCAATGATGCTAAGAGGTAACTGCCAGGGCTTTTACTGTGCTGTTTAATTGCTGCCTGAAGGGCAAGAGCATGATTGTATTCCATTTTGAAACCTCCTTTCCTCCCAAAGCATGTATCCTTTTTTTTTTTAACTTTTCACAACAGCCCCAGAAGGCTGAGAGATGCTGATTTCCCCATGACCATCTTGTGAACTTTATCTTGAAGGGAGACACAAAAGAATTCCAGTTACGGAACATAAATGTGTATTCGGCTGCAGCTAGATAGAAAACATAATCTGCTATTTATGGGGAAACCAGAGAAAGATTTTTGTTACACAAAAGAATTCCAGTTACGGAACATAAATGTGTATTTGGCTGCAACTAGATAGAAAACATGATCTGCTATTTATTGTTCTGCCCCCTCTTATGGGGAACCCAGAGAAAGATTTTTGTTACTTATTATTCAGTCGTTCCCTAATTGTACGCCCAAGGATTTAGTACTAAGATTGCTTATTGACAATCAGCCCATCATGACACATGCTGTACCACTATTGGTGTTGGCAGCCAAGAGGTCTGGTTTTCTCATAATGCCATTTAATTTAATGGTCCGTAGTTTAGTTGGCATTTTGTGTCTAGTTGCGCTGGCCACGTGACCACGGAAACTGTCTACGGACAAATGCTGGCTCTACGGCTTGGAGAAGGGGATGAGCACTGCACCCTAGAGTTGGACATGACTGGACTAAATGTCAAGGGGAACCTTTACTTTTACTAGTTTAATTGGAGCTGCTCAAAGAAGGGGACATTTTAAAACATTTAGTTCTAAAATGTATGTTTTTAAAACCTGGATGTTCTTTTTATGTCATACATTGCACATTGTAAAGGCCTATGGCCGTAAACAAAGTTTTAACCGACTAGTGAACTTTATGGGTTTAACTAGCCACTGAAATAAGGCTGTAATGCTAAACAGCTTGTATGGAGGGTTAATCCAATCATTGGATTAACCCTTCAAGGGATTACTTCAAAGAAAGTATAGGTTGAGGGAATTAATGCAAAGTGTTGTGTGATTTCCTTCAGAATTCAAGACAGACAAAGCTTGGCCTTCTCACAGCTTTGTACTGTAGATTCACAACTAGACATCAAACCTCAAGAGATGCTCAGCTCACACTTAGAAACAGATGGCACTTTGGTCCTCTAGTAAGGGATTACTTCAAAGAAAGTATAGGTTGGGGGAATTAATGCAAAGTGTTGTGTGGTTTCCTTCAGAATTCAAGAAAGACAAAGCTTGGCCTTTTCACAGCTTTGTACTGTAGATTCAGAACTAGGCATCAAACCTCAAGAGATGGTCAGCTCACACTTAGAAACAGATGGCACTTCGGTCCTCTAGTAGGGTTCCCTCAACTGTTCATGTTGGTTGCTTCAATGACATGGTCCTCTAGTAGGGTTCCCTCAACCTCATGCCTGAGCCATCACTGTGGCAAATCAAGCCCATGCTGTCTCCTAACAGCCACTCACAAAACATAGCAAGCTGGTTTTCAAGAGCCAGCTTCTAATGATGTGCTCACCAACTTGTTTAGTGGTACCCTGATCTTTCTGGCCTACATCCTGCACTCCAGCTTACTCCAACCCACCGGTTGGGTTGCTCGGTTGGGTTGCTCCCAGCGTGTCAGGTCATGAATTTTTCTCTTGTCACACCCCTTTGAAGACAGGCCCTGGGGGCAAGAAGATCGGTGGCAACCGAATGTTTGCCAACCGCATTCTTTCTGTCCTTCCGCATTTCAAACGTGAATGGGAGGTGCCTTGCAGGTAGACGCTTGCTGGGTTGTCTCCAGGGAAAGAGGTTGTATCTGTGGTCTGCTGGCCTTCATGCTACCACAGTGGTAAAGGCAAGGTTTTCGCACCTCAGATATTATAGTCAGAGCCCATAGGTCAACCTGGTTTGGCTCTGGGTATTTCACTAGGGGTTTGCCCCATTTCAATACAGAGTAGACCCGTGTGTGTAGGTATATCGAAGTAAGTGAGAGTACTGGGTGAGTTTATGAGAAATGGCGCAGGTGTACTCGGTACTGCTGCTTCAAGCAGTTCTGTCCACCTCCCACCACCTACTCACCTGTAGTGTTGGAACAGAGCTAGGAAAAAATTGCTTGAAGCAACCAAGCATACTATGTTAAGCTATGGCAGTGGGGGAAAAAAATCCATGCCAGCAAAATTATTGTGGGGGTGGGAGCACATTGGTCTAAATCTTTGAGGGGGGAGTCAAGCTTGGTCTCTCTGGAAGAATTCTGAAAGAAACAATACAATGGTTTGTATTACTCTTTCCAGCCTATATATACCTTCTATGAAGGAATTCCTGTTGATAGGATTAACCCTCCAGACAAATCTGGGCAGGATTACAGCCTTAGTTCAACGGTCAGTTTATGATTCAGTTATCCATCAAGTGTAAAAAAAAAACCACATTTTTCCTTCAAATAAGCCATGATGTCCAATGGAGTGGTGAAGGGGAGAGAACGGGGAAATGACAGGGCGCTTTCCATTTTTAAAAAATAAAGCTCTGAATTTTTTTTTCCTCTCGCAACTTCAGGACCTAAATTTGGCCATTAGAGGATGCAAGACAACCTTGTCTAGTCCTCCCTCATTTTTTTAAAAAAATAAAAGTTCAGGGGTTAAGGTCATGGAAGCAGGTGTAGCCCCTTCAAGATCCAAGCATGTGTAGCCCCCAAATGGCGGGAGATCGCCGTGTGTAAGGAATATTTTGGAATCAATGTCTGTGTCTGCCCTGTCATGTTTCGTTTGGCCCTCAGAGAACTATGTGTTTCTTTCCTGAGCAAAATAGCACAAATCATTAATTGGTTCCCCTCCCCGTCTTCTCTTCTTTTTCTCTCTCTCTTTCAATGGTTCCATTCAAGCGACTTTGAATACACCCTCGGATCCCCTAAAGCGATTCACATCAAGTCAGGTGACTCACCCATGGCCTACCTCAACAAAGGACAATTCTACCCTGTTACCTTGAAGGCAGTTGGAGATGCCAAATGTTTACACTTGTCCTCAAATAAAGTGAAGGTAGGTCTGGGGCAGGTTAAGAACCTTCTGCCAAAATGCCTAACAAACAGCCGAAGCCATGGCTACAGGGGGCTCCTTCCTGGGCTTCTGAAACCAGAGCTGTTGCCGTCTGTCCGTTGTTCCAGAGGATCTTAAGAGCCTCGTGGCGCAGTGGTTAAATCAAATAAAGTGAAGGTAGGTCTGGGGCAGGTTAAGAACCTTCTGCCAAAATGCCTAACAAACAGCCGAAGCCATGGCTACAGGGGGCTCCTTCCTGGGCTTCTGAAACCAGAGCTGTTGCCGTCCATTGTTCCAGAAGATCTTAAGTGCTACTCCTCTGACAGAGGGTGATCTTTCAAACGAAATGGGGCGGTATATAAGTCCAATAAATAAATAAATAAATAAATAAATACCCCTCCGACGGAGGATGATCTTTCAAATGAGCTTGTTTAAGTACGGGCTACCCAGAAGTTAACTGGAGTCTTTGCTGTCTCCCTTCCCTCTTTCCCAGAGCGTTGTGATGGTGGTTTTCGACAATGAAAAGATTCCAATGGAGCAGCTCAAGTTCTGGAAACACTGGCATTCGCGACAACCCACGGCCAAGCAAAGAGTCATCGATGTCGGTACGGAAATTATACGCTTCGTGGTTAATTTGTCAAGGAGGGAAATCAGATTGGCATAGTTATACCCCCTTTCTTTTAAAGGTTGTAATTCCTGTAACTGGAAACACTGGCATTCGCGACAACCCACGGCCAAGCAAAGAGTCATCGATGTCGGTACGGAAATTAGATGCTTCGTGGTTATTTGTCGAAGAGGGAAATCAGATTGGCATCGTTATACCCCCTTTCTTTTAAAGGTTGCAATTCCTGTAGCAGCTCTTGCTGGCACTTCTAGCATTTAACAGAGGGGCTGACCATATTAGCATTTGACCTGCAGTTTGGTCCACTGCAGGGACAAGCTGGCTCATGGTGATTAGATGATGTCCTTGCTGGAATGAACCAGCCTGATCCTAGAGCAGTTCTGCCCACGCCTTGTGGCCCCTGTGAAGGACTTCCACTTTTTTTTGTGTGTGTGTGGGTAGGATCGCTCTCCTTTGGATCCATTTCCACTCTGATCATTGGGCATGGAGCATCGATGGATCCATCTAGTTTGTAGCCTTAGAAGAAGAGGGAAATTCGAAGCAATTTTCCGTGGGTCTAGAAGGGTGGAGTCTCGCATGCTTCTTTAAAAGACAATGGTAGTTACCCAACTCAACACCTACTAGACTTGGGCAATCAAAGAGTAACTGTATGTTTCATGCCTTCCAGCTGACTGTAAAGAGAATTTCAATACCGTGCAACACATTGAGGAGGTGGCTTACAACGCTTTGTCCTTTGTCTGGAACATTGCTGAGGAAGCAAAGGTATGGCCTAAGCAAAGGATCCCAGCTCCCGTCTCTGCTATCAGCCTGTCTCCATTTTATATTGACTTAACTGTTACGGCTTCCCCCAAAAAACCTTTGGGTGTTGTAGTTTGTCAAAGATCCTAAGCAACTGTGTTCGAGGTTCCTAAGCTCCTACAGAACTACAGTTCCAATGATTTTTTTAAGGGTTTGTGGGGGGAAGAATGTTGAAGCCACTGGGATGCGCCCTTACAAGTGAAAAGCAATCCTAGTGAGACCTTCTTAGGAGTTCCGCAGAGCTGGTAACTCTGGAGGCAGGACACATTAGTCTTAGTTCGCTTGCTTGTTAGGCACAGCCCAGCGGTCAGGCAGTCTGAATTCTGACGACTGATTTACTGGCGATGTTCTCATACTCGACAAAAAAAAAAAAGTGTCTCAATCTATTGGTATTGAAGAAACGGTCAACAGCTGTGAGATTTTTTATTTTCCATTTGCATGAGAATGAAGACTAGCACATTTTTTCATCATTAGCATTAAAAAGAAATCCTAGGTTTTACAGGATAGCTCAGTGAATTACTTATTTGGCTGTTGAACCAAAGGTTGGGAGTTCGATTCTCCCTGGGCTTCCTATGAGAAGAACCAGCCTGTGTAGCCTTGGGCAAGCTGCACAGTCCCAAGGCAACCCCGGAAGAAGGGAATGAGAAACCACTTCCGAGCCCTTTCTACCATTCTCTCCTTTTTTACAGGTGTTTATTGGAGTGAATTGCTTGAGCACCGATTTCTCCTCCCAGAAAGGTGTGAAGGGTGTCCCTCTGAACCTCCAAGTAGACACGTACGACTACAGCAGTGGGACAAACAGGCTTATCCACCGAGCTGTCTGTCAGATCAAAATATTTTGTGACAAGGTAGAGTGAAACTTTTCCTGGCAAGCTTTTCGGGGGAGTTGATGGGGGACATTTGCAAAAGGCTTGAGGTGCGAGTGGATGAGCCAAAGGTCAACTCTAGAGGTTCCTAAATGGAGACATCAATGTTTTAAGACAAGGCTCGGTCAGGAATCTAGATATGGGCACGAACTGTTGAACAAAGATTCGTGCCGGTTCATGCTTGGGCCGAACCGGTGTTTGGTGGTTCCCAGCCCCGCCTCCTTCAGTGGGTGCCCACTCAGAGGCAGCGTCCTAGCTTCCTCGCCCCGCCTCCTCTGGGTGTTGCCTCTCAGTGGGCGCCTGCTGGAGGAGGCAGGGCTAGTCACGATCCAAAACTCCGGGGCCCAGTTTTCAGCCCCCTCCCAAAAAAAAAAACACAACCCAGAAGGAGACAGAAATTCCTTTCTGCTCTGATAAAACACCTGTGGCAGTTGGGGCAAATCAAGGTGGACTGAAGTCATTAATTCTTGACCAAAATAAATATCCCCTCAATGGTCAAATGTGGGAGGCCTGGATGCCCAAAATCGGGCGGGGAAGGAGGGAGAGGGAGCTATATGCTAAAGGATTCTCTCACCCTTGATTTTAAGAGAAGCTTTGCAAAACCTTATCTGCTAGATTGGCCCTGGTAAAGGTTAAAAATGCACAGCCTATGCCAGAATGGAGGACCACGTGGCCCGCAATGCCTTTGGACCTGGCCTGTGCTGTGCTTTTCTTGTCCCCATCATCCTGCATCAAATGGAACCTTTTCCCCAGTAGATCTAATTCCTCCACTGAGATGCATCTGGAGTCTTCATGGGGCACCAGCCAGAAACTAGAGAACGGTCCCCTTCCCTGTGGGGTGCCATATTGCCCAAACCATGTCCCTCTTCTTGTGCCAGTTAGATCTGGGAAAATACCCATCCATCTGGGGCATGAAATAAAACTTGACTGTACTTTCCACTCCCACCCCCTAAATATTTCTTCTTCTTCAAAAGACTGCACTGGATATAGAACTCGGCAGTATCACTTTTTTAGACTATATGTCCCAGGATCCTTGGACCATGTTGCTTGAGGAATTCTGGGAGTTGTAGTTCGCTGGCTCTCAAGTCTGTCTGGAAGTGCCATGCCCACCGTGTCTTGAAAGAGATCCAAAAAATATAAACAAGCTGTCCTTCTTCCATGCATATCCTCCAGCCTATCATGCCAAGAGTGATTTGGCTCGGGAGGAAGCAAGCCAATGCTTCAGAGTTTGGGATTACCAGCAAGAGGTTGTGGCTGATCATCTCTTTCACTTCCTTCCCTAGGGAGCAGAGAGGAAGATGCGAGATGATGAACGGAAACAGTTCAGGAGGAAGGGGAAATGCTTGGACGCTAATAATAACGGTTAGTAAAAGGGATGGGCAGCTACTGGTGGCCATTTATCAATGCCAGGGATGTTGGCAAGTCTTCAGGACCGATTCCTGAGTCCGAAGTCCCAAGTCTTGAGTCCTTCCTCCCCCATCCCCCAAGGCTTGGAATGTAGGGTTCAGACTGTGCATACACGATCCAGCTGAGGCAGTGTGCTGACTTCCATTCCTACAGTCAGCCCTCATCTCTACGCATGTGCGGCTGGCCTCTCGGCTGGGTGGCACATGCATGGGTGGAGGCAGGACCCAGATCCTAGAAAGGAAGCCAAGGCCTGCTGCCTTACAGGGTGGTGGCAGCAACAGCAGGTAAGCCTGCTGGTATCCCTTAGGGACTTGAAACGTGACTCAGGGAAAAATGGTTACAAGTCACGAGTCAAGTCCAAGTCTGCTCCCCCCCCCACAAAACCCCGAAGTCAAGTCGTGGTGCAACTTGAATCAGGCTGGAGAGCGAGTCATGACTCACCCGAAGTCAAGTCGTGGTGCAACTTGAGTCAGGCTGGAGAGCGAGTCATGACTCACAAGTCAACCAACCAACCAACCAACCAACCAACCAACCAACAAACCAACCAACCAACCAACCAACCAACCAACCAGTCTTTATTTTGCGGTCTCCGGCCCATTAAAGACTCACAAGTCCCATTGCTGATCAATGCTGCCTTTAGAATACGGGGTGTCTTTAGGTTCTGTGACTTTGACACAGAAAAGACCCATCTAGAAAGGCAAAGGGCAATGCCTGTGGTCCTTGAATGCAGAGAAATTGCATTCTTCTACTTTTCAGGTAGGGCTTTCCTGCAACATTTAGTTGCTCTGCGATTGTAAAAGGTTACAACCCTGGGCTTTTGGTCACTAGCCGAAGCACCGAGGGCTCTTGGTCAGTTTCCCCCTGTCTTCCTCCCAGCCAGAGCAACGATGAATCTAGACCAGCCTGGTCCCGGCTGGATTTGAAGACCTGCTTCAAAAACGTCCCTCTTCACTTATTTTTTATTTTCTTTGTTTACTGACTGGGGTTTATATCCTGACACATGCCCTCCGGGAAGCTTACAAAACAAATCCATATTCAAAACATACCCAAGAACATGTCAAATAAAAACACCAATAAAAATGACAAGAGATAGCCCAGTCAGCGCACGGCGAGATAAAAGCAGCAGCTAAAACCAGTCCTGAGATGCTAAGGGGTACCACTTAAAAAGTGGGAGGAGGACCTCACAGACTTTGCTGAGGGCAAATATATATATTATATATATTTGTGAAGGCACCAGGATCTCATACCTGCAGTGAAGGTCGCCTTGTTAATATATATTTGTGAAGGCACCAGGATCTCATGCCTGCAGTGAAGGTCCCCTTGTTAAAAACAAGCTTCCCCCCCCAAGAAAAAAGGGGTGGAGGGTTCCGAATCACGAGTTCGAATCACTGAATAATGCCCCCCCCCCAGTCAAGTCCCGGTGAAGTTGCTGGTGTAACTTAAGTTTGACTTGACTGCGTGTCCTACAGCTCAGGCCCCCTTCCCGGCTGGTCTCTCCCCTTCACAGATTTTCCTCTTGTGCGTCTAGTCTGTTCAGATTCCATGCCTGAGGGCACCCAATTACTTAATCACTTGCTGTAGAGCTAATTATTAATAATTATTGTTCTAACGTGACGTGGAAATCTTCATGCCCTATGCTAGACTTCTTTTGATTGTCTACCGAGACACATCCAATCATCCTTATCTGAGAACGAGATCTCTCGCAGGGGAGACAAAGATGATTCCCACACAAACTCTTCGGGCCCGAGGCTTTCTCAAACACCTCCTTGTTCGGAAAGGTTTGGGTTTTGGGGATGAGGAGAGGAGCAGAGCCTCACAGATAACACGGCATTATTTTCTGCAGTTGGAGCTGTAATAAATCGTTTTGGTACCTGGGGCTCAGCTTCCCTATTGACCCTCGAGACCTTGCTTTGTTCCACATGTTTCTTCCCTCCTGCAGCTGCATCAAACCGAGGAAACGGGGGGGAAATATTGGGCGTCCGAGCACAGATCTTCCGCATTTATGCTTTTTGCCTGTTCTGGTTCTCCGTGATGCCGAATCAGTGAGGCCCAGACTGCATGTAACAGCATCTGTCACGCCGCTCGCCTTGACAAATTTATACCAGCAAACATGATGGGGAAAAAAGAACGTTTTCCTGCCTTTCTGTCTTCCAGGTTTGAAAAGCTGTTTGGTTTCAGGCTTCCGAGGGAATGAAATCACATATCTCAAGCCACAGACCGACCTGGAAACCCAGCCTGTTTTGTTTATCCCAAATGTCCATTTTTCAAACCTCCAGAGGTGTGGAACGGTGAGTTCTTTTAATTGGGCTCCCATTTTTTTAAATCAAAGTGCCTTCAAGCTGACATGTTCATTGGAAGCACGTCACATCGTGGTATGACTGGAACACAACTAATTCACCGCAGTGCCATTATCTGAGATCCGTTAATTTATTTTGAAAGAAGGTTTCGCTTACTGACCTTCGCTTTGCGACCTGCCGATCAGCTGTTTGGCGGGTCCAAAATGGCCGCCGGAAGCCCCAAAATGGCCGTGCGCAGCGTTTTCACGCCCTCGTTAAGCGAGGGGAGGGCGCAAAAATGGCTTCCGGCCATCCTGGAACATCGCTGAACGGTGAGTAAAGGAGCCTTTTGGAACGCATTAAACGATCTTTAAAGCGTTCCAATGGCTTTTCCTGTACCGTTCAGCGATGTTTCGCTATAGCGAAGGTTAATCCATTCCGGATTAACCTCGCTATGCGAGGCACCACTGTATTTTTCCTTTCCTCAGAGAAAGGAGGAAGATACAGATTTATTGGAGTATGTCTTGGAAAGCTTTTGTAAAGACCCCTCCAAAGTCAAATTCCTAGGATGCGGGGGGGGGGCAGCAATAGAAGCATTGAACAAGTATAAAACTAGATCTAAATTAGTAGTGAAGGTATTCCCCTAGTATCTTTACACCCAGGAAAGAAAGCATGGTTTGAGGAGGAATTTAAAAGCAAACCATGGAAAGTATCCTAAGAATTTATGAGAGGAAAGTTGATAACGAAGGATGAAACTGAGAGGCAGAAACCACCATGAGTGTAACTTCACAGACACCACTGCAGATTTCTCGACGCAGGGAGAGGGGGAGAAAGAATCAAAAGTCAATTTTTGGCTGCATTCAAGATTTAATTAAAGAAAAGGAGGACACGCAAATTGTGGCCGGGATTTTTGCCCTGCCGTGTGGCTCCTGTTGCGTTAAACCTTATCACAACAGTAATAGTATGACTAGTGCAGAGTCGGTCACGCACATTTAATGCTAACGTTCCTTTGACTGTAGCATGCCTATCAAAAATGAACTATTTATTCTAACGTTCCTTTGACTGTAGCATGCCTATCTAACATGAACTCCCATTTATTTGTTAGCACCAATAAATAGGACGACGGATCAATGCGATCTAGATGTGGTCCTGTGGAACAGACAGAAGGTGTCTGGTACCTGAGACTCCCTGTTTTTGTCCATCGGGCTGCTTCTAAATGAGATGTTCGTTGTGTGGTCACCCTGTCTTATTCGTGGGACGTCACTGTCCTTGGATAACTCTCCCACGTTTCCCCATCACTTCTTTCCAGGAAAAATCCACTGGATCAACTTTTTCTATTAAATTGCTTCGTTTCTAAATCATGTCTCTCTTGTCTTTTCCATAGGTCTTGCCCACCGCTGGTGTTCCTCATGACCCTAGCAGGTATGAAGAAAGGAGAAGTTCTTTGATTTTTTTTGCTCATAATATATTGAGATATTCAGACCCACAACTGGCTCCTTGCCATCTCTATATGCCACCTTTTTCTCTGGGAACTTCAAGGCAGTATAGACAATCCCTGGAGCCAGACACTGACCAGATGTGGACCTCTTTAAGTAGGTCGCCACCCCCGGGCTGCCTTTACACCTGCGAAGCTGATGTGTGCCATCTTGAGTTTTATGACAGATGAAAGGCAGGCTATAAACGTAATAAATATATGTTAGTAAGTTCTGCTGTTTGAGCCTCTTTGAAGTGAAATGAATCAGGGCGGTGTGAGGGCATGAGCATGCCACCGACTCCTGGGTTTCATTAAGCTGAAGGCAAAAGGTGGGCAATTAAAACAGCCACAACAGACAACAGCAAAGACTTTCTTGTAAGGAAATAGTTGGGCATGTCGAATAGGGAGCACCCAACACTTTGGGTGGCCCTTTTGCTTGGGCAAGGTGAAGCCTGGCATGTAGGGTGCCATTAAAAATGGAAGACCAACATGAATTTGACCCAACTCTGGGAGGCAGTGGAAGACAGGAGGGCCTGGCATGCTCTGGTCCATGGGGTCACAAAGAGTCGGACACGACTAAACAACTAAACAACAACAAAGATGGAAGAGAAGGAAACCGGAGGGTTGTATCCACAGGGAGTAATCCATCCAAACGTTCTTCTGCATAAGTCCCATTGAAATGAGCAGAAGCTGTGGTTTGTTTTTTTGGTTATGTGTACTACAATCACTTGAACCAGTTATTATTATCTTTATATACGAATTGTTTACTTCTATGTGTACTACAATCACTTGAACCAGTTATCTTTATCTACGAATTGTTTACTACCCCTCATTCCACCACTGAACTCAGTATGTCATACATGGTTATCCTCCTGTCCTACAAGGATGTGGTCAAGCTGAAAATGGCTGCTGTAGGGTCAACTCTTCATGGCTCCATAGAGAAAAGGTTTAGGGACACCCACTTTGTTTCTCAACAATGGATCTCTTGATTTCCTCTTGTCCTCTTTCAGGTTGCCTTTGAAGCGGAGCTGCCCTTCATTCCCAGAAGAATTTGACCCGCTCGTCGCAAAACAAGCGAAGGAAGAAGACCCTCAACGAGGTAGAGTTGCTTTGAAGATTCTGCCCCTTAAACGCCCCTATAGTAGGGAGGTTGGCAAGTCCTCCAATCCGAGTGTGAGTTCTCAGACCAGAGTCCCGACTCCACCCCCTTGAATCTGAGTCTCGAGTTGATGGACCCACCTTCAACTTGGGGGGGGGCACATGCACAGATAGGGAAGCCGAGTTGGCGCATGCGCAGAGACAGCAGGCCAGCTCCCCTTCCAGGAGCTGGATCCTGCTTCTGTGCATGGGCCGGTCTGTCCATTGGGTGGTGCATGCATGGGCAGCAGGCCCACCTTCCCCTCTAGCAGCTGGCCGTGCTGCCTCTGAAAATGGTGTGGTGGGTGGTGGCGACAGGTAGGGAGGCCAATAGGGACTTGACAGCACAACTCAAACAAACCAGCCTGAGAGGCGACTCAAGTCACAAGTCCCTCTCCGAGTTGAGTCCAAGTCAAGTTGGTGATGCAACTTGAGTTGGACTTGACAATGAGTCGCAACTTGCAGTTCCCTCTCCCTGCCCTACAGGTGCACATCCAAATGCTAGGCAAGGAAGCAATAGCTTCAAGGAGGAACCAACCCAGGAAGGGAGCAGCAGGCTTAAGCTACTGTACACGTGGGAAATAGTGGAAAGAACCCATTAAAAATGGGGGTGTTGGCAGGTGCCAGAATGACTTGAAGATCTCCTCAAGAGGAAGCTGATAAAAATGGTGGCATTGGGGGGGGTAGCTAGCTGATGTTCCTCAGCCCCCATCAGCATAGCAGAGGAGGGGTTTCTGCGTTGGGGGAAGAGGGCTGGCTCCGTGGCAAGGTCGGAATGAAATCTTCGCAGCCAAACCCAAATGTGACGCCTCTCTGTCGTGTCTTTCAGTCATGCTGTACGTGCGGAGGGAATCCGAGGAGGTGTTCGATGCCCTCATGCTGAAGACGCCAGACCTCAAAGGCCTGAGGAATGCTGTGAGTTTCTCCTCAGTTATTTTGCTTCATAAAATTATAGGTTCTCTCCTTGTAAATGCTCTGAGGGCTGGGACGACGGCCCTGGGCTGGATATGTGCTCAGCCTTCTGCCACCATCGAGGCAAATTCATCCACTCCCCGGATGGTCCCATTGTGTTTTCATTCCGGTATTTCAGAAGGTTTGCCCATGGTCTTAGTCAGAAGGAAAAAGGAGGGGATTATTTCAAGAGAGTCCATGCTTTGACGTTATGCTTCTTTCTCTCATCCTCACTCCCTTTCCTTCACTTTGCATATTTTAGAATTGCAGCCTCTCTCTGCTTGTACTCTTTTGTAGACCTGAGAGTATGTGATCTTTAACCGGAAAGGCTTGACTGATGTTGAGTTTCTGCTTGACCACAGAGTTCGTTTTACCAAAAAATTAAATTTAATTTTAAAAAAAACAAAATTCAGTTCTGTGTTAAAATAAAATAAAATAAAATAAAATTCAGTTCTGTATTGTAGCTGCCCGAGATTGGGTTACCCCCATTTCCCAGAAAAATCGCCCATCTTTACTGGAGACAAAGCAAGAGAGAAGGCTTCCCTCCATCCCTTAAATTGATGGATTTATAGAATCTGTAAATGATTAGGGTCTGTGCTAGCCGGAGGCATCTTTAGCCTGATACAAGCGGAGTGACTGCTGACATAATTGATGATAGTATATATCTGTCAGTCAAAGGTGTTCAACTCAAGGGGCGCAACATACTGGCGAATTCTCCTTCAGAAGCCCCTTTGGCATGGCAAAAGATCTACTCAGTGCTCAGAGGGAACTCTTTTCAATGAAATCTGCGCAGAACTGACCATGCTTACTGGCAAGGCCTCAGTCAGCAAGATGTTGTGGGCTGGTTCTTGTTCCGTTTCTACAGCACATTACTTTGGCGGTATTAAATTTGAATTCCCTTCAGTAAACCCCTAGAATTGTAGAATTGGAAGAGGTGTGAAAAAGTCATCTAATCCCAACTCCCCGACAAAACTCACAGGAGAGCATCCCTGACAAGATGACCTTCCAAAGTTCCGTTTGAAAACTTGGCATGAAGGTCTCGTTTCTAGTTTTGCTCTTTTTGAGAGCCATGGAAGGAATCATTTGGTGATTTCTTTCACCTTGTAGATATTTCTTGGTTTATCAACCTTCAAAGCCCATATTTCCTTCAGAGTAAGGAATACAACTTTCGCCTCCTGATGCTGGCCATCAGGGACCGATCCATTGGCACTGTATCCTGTCATGAAAGAGCCAGAAGGGATTGCAACTCTTTGTCAAGCGCAGAAATGGGGGTGGGTGGGTGCGGAATTTACTTTGGGGAGTATGACTTCCAGAACTCCCCCATGGACTACTGACCATGCCAGCTGGGATATACTGGAGTCATAAACCTGGAAGTAGTTCCAAAAGCTAAATAGAGAAACTGTCGTGATGATGGTAGGTTTCATATTCCCTACCGCAAAGTCCTCTCGCTCTACGTCAAGTCCCCAAGCCTGCATCTCTAGATAAACTGTTGTCTTTTCCTACCCCTCTTTCTTCAACTCCTTCTTCATACGGCACCTCCTTTCCTTTGGGCTGACTGGGAATTGCCACCCCCACCCCACCACAGTCCCATTCTGCACAACTTTCTCAATGTTTGAAGAGCACACAATGTGGATGCATAGTTCAGAGATGATTATCAGCAGCATTCCTGATAACCCAGGCTGTCCTCCGCTGAGGTGGAGAACAGAGCAAACAACTTTCTGAAATGATCTGATAGTGTGTCTTTCTCTCTCTGTGTGTGTGTGTCTCTCTCTGTTGGTTCTGCACACAAATGTTTTTTTAAAACATTAAAAAAATTCAAAACATTAAACAAAACACCAGTTTTTACAATTGCATTCCCTCCGTCCTTCTCCCCAGGAAACAGTGTTGGAAGGAGAAGACTGCAGGAAAAAGGGGCTGCACGGACTTCAGAAAATATATGTTTTTGGACTACAACAGCCAGAATCCCCCACTAGCCCATGTGGGTGATGGGATTCTGGATGCTGCGTTCCGAAAACATAACATTTCTGACCTCTGGTTTTGCAGAAGCGAAACATATTCCCAAGAGAGAGAGAGCCAGGATCACAGAATCTTATGCAAAATCTTTAAAAGTTACTTTTTTAAAAAATTAGGACTATACTTGCCTTGCCAACATGGCCAGTGACTTAGAGGAGGAAGACAGTAACTTTTTCCAAGCTCTGCTCTCACTCCGAAAAAACAAGCAAGAGGGTTATGTCACTTTTCACCAATCGAGAGTGATCCAGGGAGATCAGAGTTTAAATCCTACCTGCAAATAATGCTGTTGATCCGTGTAATTGAGTCTTCAGAGTGCTTTTGCACAAAATGGTTTCTATGAGCTTTGTAAGGTAGCTTAATGTTTATCTCCAGGTGGCTGAAGTGCATGATGTAAAGGGCAAAAACTAAGGGTGAGAAATAACAGTTGACATTATGGTATCCAGAGCTAGCATACCATTTAAACTGAGGTCTTCTTCAATCTCTCTCTCCTCTCAACAGAACACATCAGTTCTTAGGCTTTAGATTACTTGTTGGTTCATAGCTTACTTGTTAAGTCTTCAATCCTCTCTTTTAACATGAAAAATTGTAGGATCTTCCTTGTTGTGAGGACTTAGTGGGGAAAATTACGAAGCATGCTGCAATGCCGTGAAAACACAGAGTTTTGTGAATGACAAGTGCCAAGGAATCATAGAATTATGGAGTTGGAAGAGACCTGTAAGGCCATCGCATCCAACCATAGAATCATAGAATTATGGAGTTGGAGGAGGAGACCTGTAAGGCCATCGCATCCAAACCCCTGCACAATGAAGGAATCCAAGTCAAAGCAGATCTGACAAGAGGGTTGTCCAATTTGCTCTTGAATACCTCCAGCGATGGAGGCACCCCGTTCACTTGAACTTTGCCGTTCTCCCTAGTGATCAGAGGAAAGCGAGCAAGAGTGCAAAAAAAAAAAAAAGGCTGCATGCCGGATTGCACCTGAAAGGGTTGCTTTGCAGAGAGCAATCTAAATGGACCGTGCCATATGCAGGGGAATCAGTACAGTACAGTACCAAAAAGTAGTAGTCATGGACATAGCTGAACCGAAAGGGTCCATCTTTTGGACATGAGTCACAATCAGGCTGGAACACATTTCCCATGCCTCGTGTGATCCTCAGGAAATAGATTGTATTGGCCTCCCTAGTGATCAGAGGAAAGCGAGCAAGGTCCATCTTTTGGATGTGAATCACGATTAGGCTGGAACACATTTCCCATGCCTCGTGCGATCCTCAGGAAATAGATTGTATCGGTGTCCTCCACAAGCAGTCCAAACTGCAATCTATTTCCTCGTGTGATCACACCCCAACTTGATTTCAGTCTACGTGGCCCTATAGCATCCTGTAAATACCCTGAGATTCTTTTAACAGGTTGTGCATGCAATCTCTTCTGTTACTTTTTGCAGGCAAAACATTCATTCTTCTGCTAAACTCTATCCCCTGCCCATCCATCCTGATCTTGTAAGAGATTACTCAATCATGGCTTTAAAATGGGCAAATTCCTTCATGTGGTTCTGCTGAGTGTTTGCAATGGCGTGCAGGAGGTGGAATGCAAACAGGGCTATATATGTGATGAGTTTTGTCTTTAAACTTCCAGGTTACTCTTGCTTCTCATAAAAATGCAGAGATGGCAGGTTGTCGAGGTGGCTGCTGGCTCATCATATTTATAGCGTTCCTACCAACCTTTCCTCATGCTGTCATGCACTGGTGCAAATGATCACACAAGGAGCCTGTAATTAATAATTTCTACACCAGGCGCCTGGCTAGCCTCTGCCACTGGTGCAAATGATCACACAAGGAGCCTGTAATTAATAATTTCTACACCAGGCACCTGGCTAGCCTCTGCTTAAGCCTTCAAGAAAAGATGGCAAAAAATATCAAAAAACAAACAAACAAAAACCACGAGCTTGTGTAATCTATTAAGGCAAATTGTTTATTGCTGAAGTCCTGTTTTGTGAAGGTGTTGCTTTTGTGTTTAGGCAGGGCCCAGAGTGAGTCAGTAACCTCCACACTATCTGTGGCTTTCTTTCATGTTAGAAGATTATCCCTTTGGAGAATGCTTCCGGTACATCAGAAATTAAATGTCCTTCTGTACACCTGCATGTGATGTACGTATATGTAACGGGCAGCATTTTCTCTGTTCCCCCCCTTCAGATTTCCGAAAAATACGGTCTGCCTGAAGAAAGCATCTACAAAGTCTACAAAAAATGCAAACGAGGGTAAGTGGCCGCTTTTCCGCATTTATGGTTGTTTTTATGCACCATCAAGTTGGAACTGACTAACAGGTACCTTAATAAGGCTTTCAAGATAAGTGAGGTATTTAAGGAATGGTTTTACTATGTCCATTCCCCACTCCAGGTATTTAAGGAATGGTTTTACTATGTCCACTCCCCACTCCATGAATTTCCACGGCCAAGCAGGGATTTGAACCCTGTTCTGTGCATGAATTTCCACGGCCAAGCAGGGATTTGAACCCTGTTCTGGGGAATCCTAGTCAATCATTCTCCCACTACACAGTAGATCATGTTATCCACAGTTACTGTGTTTGATTTCCTTGGCTTGTTATGTAGCAGAACAGGAGTGGCTATTAGAGATGGGCATGAACTGGTTCGTCCCAGTTCGTCAAGGCGGCAACACAGGTACTGCTGCTCCCCTGCTTCTTCTGGCTCACGCAGCCCTTCATCAGGCCCAGCCTCCGTGATCTTCAACTGATCTCCCAGTCCCGGCAACAGCTCAGGCTTCTCTGCCCTTCCCCTCTTGGCTGATCTCGCAACTCCGAGAAAAGTCTGTGCTCTTGCTCGTGACTGGGAGATCAGCCAAGGAGATGGGAAAAGCAAGCAAGCTTGCTGATTGGCTGAGGAGGTGGGGAGAGGAGCCGCAGCATCACCTTTATGAACTGGGACGAACCCGTTTATATCCATCGCTAGAACCTACACAATAGGTCCTAGGCTAGCAAATGGGCATGAAAACTTTGGGGCTGAAAAGTGCAGGCTTTTGAAAGCCATTGAAATCCTCACCAGCCATCAGCAGTACTGTAGTTCTACGGAGGAACTATTCTGCCCAACCCATTTCAGAATATAGTAAGAAGAAGAAAGAGAAGCTGGCAACTCCCATTTTAAATATGCTGCAGGTCTGCTCTGGGCTTAGTCTACAGGGTTTATCTAAATGCAAAAACAGGCGATACCTTTATAGACCACTAAAAGAATCATAAACGAACTTCCACGGATTAAGATTCCGTAGTGGTCAATAAAGGGATCCCCTATTTTTGCATTTGGATTTTATTTTGGTATGACTGGACAGCTGCCGTTGACTTCAAGGGGTTATCTACAGTACTGAACATCTGGAGGACAGAGTCCGGTGCTCGGGAGAGCTTCTGCAAAGTCAGAACGGAAATCCAGAACAGACTCATAGGACCTCCAGAAATGGAACTGCCCAGTTTCCATTGGTAGGAAGCACACTGGTGGTCTAGACCAGTGGTTCCCCAACCTTGGGCCTCCAGATGTTCTTGGACTTCACTTCCCAGAAATCCTGGCCAGCAGAGGTGGTGGTGATGGCTTCTGGGAGTTGCAGTCCAAGAACATCTGGAGGCCCAAGGTTGGGGAACCACAGGTCTAGACCACAGAAGGCCTACTAGGTCCAGGCTCCTGTCTCCCACGGTGGCCACACAGCTGTCTTCAAGGAACCCACAGCAGGAAATGAATGCAGTTGTCCTCCCTCTGGCCCTGCAATTCCTGTTCCCTAGGAACTAGGATTCAAAGACACACTGCCTCTGGTCCTGCCGGAGAGATGAGCTGTAACTATACCTTAGTTATGTAACTACGCTGGGGGACCGGATGTGTAAAAGGAAAGTTCAAGTTCCTGCTTGTAGACCAAGTATGCATGACCTGGGAAAACAGGAACCAGATCTTTCTCTTCCGTGAAAAGCAGAAAGGGTGGGATCAGATAGAGAAGTACGGAGGTACTAAGGGCTTCAAGGCTTTGTCCTTTTGCCTTTTTGGGGTGCAAAGCACCCTCCTTCGCCACCTGAAATGGATTAGAGGGTAGGCAGGCCCAATGTAAGGCATTTGTTTGTTTTTTAATGCTTCAGCAGCAACTAGGAGATCAAGGGTAGAGGTGAGGAAAATATGATTTAAATTAGAACACAGGGGTTATATACGTGTTCCTTGACACCATCTCGATGCAAGTTAGGCCTCACAGCTGCTTTAGACCCCAGTAAAATGCACTGGGAGAGTCCGTCATGTGTGGCCTAGAACAGATTTGCACTTTGTGCGAGAGCCACCTAGACCCCAGTAAAATGCACTGGGAGAGTCTGTCATGTGTGGCCTAGAACGGATTTGCACTCAGTGTTGACTCATGTTATAGGTGTGTCATGGAGCCACAGACAATTGGAAGCCCCCAATATATGACCCCACAGCCAGTAAGCCGTTGCTAGAGCAGACCCATTGGCTCAATGACATTTGTGTAAGTGTTAAAAGTTCAGGAATCCATTCAGTAGATCTGCTCTGGGATATTAGCCCAAATGTTTAATAGCATGTATCTCCTCTTGTCATGTTAACTGTCCTGCCCGCCGATGGAAACTGAGTGTTAGTCTGGTTGCCACATCAGTTGTGAACAGGTTCTGATCACCAAAACAAGGGAAGATGTGCCCCAGATCAGATTGTTTAGAGCGGTTTTCCTTAAACTTATGCCTTCCCAGCTATGCTGGGCTAAAATACTCAGACATCATAGCCACTGCATGACCGTGGGGGTGTCGAAGTCTGAAAACATCTGGTGGAGTCTAGGGTGTCAACTAAATTGAAGCTCGTTTGATATGGGGATTGCCATAACCCTGTGTGCCTCTGCGCCCAGCCAAACAGAAGCTCTGTGGTTTGATGAAAGAGAACAGAGAATAGACCAGTGATTGGCAACTCCTTTGTCCACAGAGATGAGCCAAAGTAATTCATTGTACATTTCTGAGGTCAGGTCCCATAGCTGAAGCTGATGCAACAAGCTTGCCATCTTGGTCATGGGACATTACTTTAAATTGGATCCTGATGGTGCAAACATGTGGTCAGGATGAATTTCAAGCTCAACATTCCCTCTAATTTTCCGGAGCGTTGGGCGGGGCCCCCATCCCGTGTGCATGAGGTTCCAGCTACGACCGGAAGCAAAAGGGTGGCCCCGATCTAGCGCTGTGCGGGAGTGCCGCTTAGAGAATTCCCACTGGACTCAGATGTTCAATTGTTTCTAATATTTCAGCGGGCCATGAAAAATATTACTCAGTGTCATTTTTTTTGGTGGGATCCGAGGGATGGCCACTCGAACGCTTGGAAAAATCCAAGCACACTGAGATTCTCATTCAAAATGCCCAGCCCTCCAATGGAAAAGGAATCAGGGAGGTGTCACAGAGTCTGGTAGTTTAACAGATACTCCTTATCTCCTAAGACAGTTGCTTGAGGTTACAACAGATTTTACTTATCTCAGTCATCGGGGCATCTCAAAGTCAGAGTACCTTTTTAGCTTATAAAAGCAGATGACACTGGAACAATGCAGTCTTGGATGGAAAGTGTGTGTTAGCTCCCACTTGGGGGGGGGGACTAATTTGGGTTCAAATATAGCCCTATGTCATTGTTAAAATGCTGTCTTAAGCAGGGAAGCCACATCTTGAGTTTAGCTGACTCTGGTTATAGTCAGAGCCCTTAACCTTCATAAGGTCTAGCACTGTGACTTTTTCCATTTGAAGCAGAGCTCCTAGAGCCAAAGATTTAGGCTGTGTGTTCCGTTCACCTCTGCGATGAATTTCATATTACCCCACCTGGGCCTCATCATTTGGCAGCGTTGTCTAAAACGTCTCCACCCCAGCTTCACATTCTTGTTGGCTGCTAAGAAGTTCAGGAAAACTTCCATACTCAAGAGGAACAAATCGCAAGCAATTTATCCTGCAGCTGAAGGTGGGCTAGTTCAGTGGTTCCCCAGCCTTGGGCCTCCAGATGTTCTTGGACTACAACTCCCAGAAGCCTTCACCACCGCCACCTCTTTTGGCCAGGATTTCTGAGAGTCGAAGTCCAAGAACATCTGGAGGCCCAAGTTTGGGGACCACTGGGCTAGATGGTTTACCATCTCACAAGGGCACCAATTCCATAACAAGTATAATGTGTATTTCCACACACATTAGATCGATCTGTGATCTTTGGACAGAGTGGTTGCTGTTCTTGCGTGCCGTAAAGTCGTCTGACTTATGGTTGCCCCATGAACGAGCAGTCTCCAAAATGTCTCCTGTCCTCAACAGCCTGCTTAGCTCTTGTAAATCAACTGTCTCTTCCATTGGGGAGCCAGTCCATCTCATATTTGCTCTTCCTCTTTTCCTGCTGCCTTCAGCTTTTCCTAGCCTTATTGCCTTTTCCAGAGAATCCAGTCTTCTCATGATGTGCCCAAAGTAAGACAGCCTCAAGGTCAACATTTTCCCCTCCAGAGATAGTGTGGGCTTGATTTGATCCAGGACCCACTTATTTATCTTTCGGGTCGTCCACAAAACTCTCCTCCAGCACCACATTTCAAACAAAACCATCCCCCCCCACCTTCCCATCAGCTCTTTTTACTGTCCAGCTTTCACAGGGACAGGGTGGCCCTCCTAAAACAAGGGCCGGAGAGATAGACGGGCTGAGGAAGGATCACCAAATAAACTCTCCACGGTCTTGCTTCTTTCTCGGTACCAAGCCATGCCTCATCTCCAAGGGCCAGCTGGTTGGGAAATCTAAGGTTTTTAAATTCTATTCCACAAGATCCCAGATTTCTTGATTCTTAAAAAGACACCACAGCAACAAGGGCCTCTGGATACCTGGCCATGAAGGAGGCTCCTCAACCTGGGGATTCAAGTGGCCTTTCTCTCCCCGTTTGAGCCTAGCAACACATTTCAACCCAAATCTTGCTCCAGGCCTCATGACTGAGCAGCCTCCCGCCCGACCCTTTCATATGACACTTCTGCCATTTGAGTCTGGGGAGAAAACAAAAGACATGGACCAGGGGGTTGGGTGCTAGACTGTTGCTAATCTTTTCTTCCCCACCTCCATATTGTTCGGCCAAAAATATGTGTGACAGGAGGCCACGCTCCCCTCCCCTCCTTCTAATCCTGTTGTGTCTGGGAAGACTGCAGTTCTTTGGCCCATTGTAGAGATTGATGGGTTTTTTTTAAACTGTTGCCTGTAGGCATCTGTCTCCCATTGCCTAGGGTGTTCCAAAA